ATATAGTCTGTAGAAACAGTTCAGTGTTCCATTTATTTAGGCCCCCGGGCCGCGGAACATCAGAATCTGGATGAGCAAGCTGTGCATCTTCGGAGCACGGGGCTGCAAGAGGCCTCAGCAGGGCACAAGAGGCTGGCACATTTGTGTCCCGGAGTGGCCGTCTGCGTGTAGGCCCCAGACGGCGCAGAATCGTCCTGAGGCACACCCGTGTAGCACACCCCCACAGTGCGTGGGCACATACAAGCACACACGCACCCACAACTTGCGGATGTATATATCTATATATGTATATATGTATACAAGTGTGTATACATATATATACGGTCCTCGTCAGGCAATGCAAAGCCCAGTTTCGTCAGCTCCGCTTTCAGTTCATTGTTCGCTCCAGCATGTGTAAGCGTGGTGTAGGCCACCACGGTGCAACGAGGTCCCTGAAGAGTGGGCTCTGCCCCATGCACAAGGCGACCATGGAACAGCTGGCACGTCTCTGCAGTCGGAAGCAACCGACCACGAAGCCAATTACCTTCAAATTCTCGCCACTGAACCTTGTCTAAGTCTTCGCATTCTTCATCTTCGACCCACAGCTCTCCCCCGGTGTGCGGAGTGAGCCCGATAATCACCGACTGGGCTTGATTGCGCGTATCCCTGTGAAGCTTCAAACGTTCATCCAGGTTGAGCGATAAGCTGCTAAAGCGGAAGCCAGGAGGTGCAAGTTGTCTGACAAGGGAGGCAAGCAGGCGCGTGAGGTGAGGATGCACACGTGACATTACTGCCAAATAGTGTGCTCCTCCGCTGGACGTGAGGCCAAGTGTCCAGAGGTTGAGAAACTGCTTGCCTTCGCAAATGTCGGTCAGCAAGGCTCGTCGCTTGGTCGCCACTGGCTGTAAATTGCATGCTTGTACGATCTCGTACACATCAGCCGGTCTAAGACTTCCAGATGCAGTTGCCAGCAAGTTGTGAGCCGCCCGCTCACCCGCTGATGCTGAGCCTGGTGTCCCTGGCCCACCCGGTGTCGCCTGCACAAGTCGGTGGCACATGTGTACATAGGTTCATAGACAACACGAGGCCTCCCCGTTCAAAGAAAGGCTGTCTTGCTGCAGAGTCCTGCACCCAGGAGAAGCTACAATACACACCCACAAGCTTGTTGTGGACACATTCCGTCGTAGGGATCTGGCTGCGACGGCTCTCGGAGCACCAGCGCCTGGCCGTGTCAGGGGGGTATATATATAGTGGATGTGCTGACTGACAGTGTATAAACACATGCGTGATCTTGGCTGCCTGACAGCTCACCACATCGGGAACTGTTGCATCCTGGACCACATCAGGCCATGAACACGCTTGCTTACATATATACATTGTGTGCGGCAAGAGCTCCACCCCACGCCTCGCACGGAGGTTCGGCCGCCCGAGTTATCACCTATAGCGAAAACATCACGAACAACAAAGGACAGCACGGTCGTGACAAGGCAAGATCGCACCTTCCCGTCAGTTGTGACCGTGGAACAGCCGGAGGCGGAAACCTTGATGGAACTCGTACACGCACATCTATATATATCTATATACATATATATATATATATATATACATACACCTTGAAGTCTGAAGCTCGGGCTTCATTCGCACCGCTGTGCAGGGCGAAGAACTGCTTCGTTCTTTCCCGCAGGGGTATCCCTGGGGCGTTGTCCTAGCACACTCACGCAGGCACCAGCTTTGATGACCGAGCCCGCCACTTGCCGAAAGCATGAAAAAAAGTAGTGAAACCCACGACCTCCGTTCCATTGAGATCTGTCGGAGCATTGGTAGACGAAGCCTTGCATTCATGCACGAGTGGCAGGCACACCTGTGACCAATCACAAAAGGGGCCCACCGCCTGCTTCTTGGACGCCACAGCTGGATCCTGCCAAACACTCTGAAATCTCAGAATGTGCAGTCGTCAACCTATAACACTAACTATTCAAAACACTCAAAAACCGTCACACACACACACGCACAGTCACAAACGGCTGCAGCAGCATGTCTTCAGGCACCGAAGCCGACGATGAGCAAAGTCAAAAACCGAGCCCACCTTCTCCTTCTTGGACTCGGCAGCTGGAGCCTGCCGCCACACAAAGCAAGCCCCTCTCTCTCTCTCTCTCTCTCTCTCTCTCTCTCTCTCTCTCTCTCTCTCTCTCTCTCTCTCTCTCTCTCTCTCTCTCTCTCTCTCTCTCTCTCTCTCTCTCTCTCTCTCTCTCTCTCTCTCTCTCTCTCTCTCTCTCTCTCTCTCTCTCTCTCTCTCTCTCTCTCTCTCTCTCTCTCTCTCTTCTCTTTCTCTCTCTCTCTGTATATATATATATATATACATACACATGTGTCAAAAGCGCACCTTCGTCTTTGCGGGCGTGGCCTGCACGAGTGGGTGACACATGGGTATAAGCAAAGTCGAAAGAACCGAGCCCACCTTCGACTTCTTGGATTCGGCAGCTGTAGCCTGCCGCTGCGAGCTTCTGCACATATATATATATATATATGTATGTATGCATTCAATCGGGATCGAATATATAAGCACAATGGCCAGCCCACCTTCTGCTTCTTGGATTCGGCAGCTGGAGCCTGCCGAAGCACAAAGCAAGCTTCTTTCTATTAAGAGATATATATGTAGATATTCATACATACATATACACACATATATATATATAAATATGTATATAAATAAAGAAGAGAGGGGAGAGAGACAGATGCTTGGTCGGCCACACAGGAGGATGGCACAGCGATGGCACAGCGAAGCCTGGGCCGTCAAGGAGGCTGATGGCTTTTCAGGCAGCCTGGTTTCTATACGGTTGATTGCTTTCGTGGGTTCGGGTGTGTTTGGGTTTACAGAGTTGCTTCACAAAGCTCCAGAAATGCAAGCAACAGCCAGCAGCCATTTTCAAAAAGTCACGCCAGGCTGTATATAGATGGCGATGTGCAGGCAACAGGGGTGCACTTCAGTACCAGTAGTATATATATATATATATGTTGAAACCGTGATCAAAACTTTGCACTGCAGCCAGCACTCACCTACGCCTAGGGGAACGGGAAGCGGTCCTAGGGCGGCGATTGCTCAGCATTTCAGGGACACGGGCCAGAAGCGAAGTGATCTGAGAACGCATGCTCGCAACCAGGTCCCACTGCTCACGACTGCGAGCACGACTGAGATCTTCCTCGAGCTCGGCCACCCGCAAACGCAAAGCCGATGTCTCCGTCCGCAACTCAGCAATATCGTCCTGGACCAGGTTGATCTGAAACTGATGGCCCGAAGTTTCGTTCAGAAGCTCAGCTAGGACAAGGCGGAGGCGTTCAGGTGGAGGGTAAATCTCTGCATTCATCGGACCAAGAAAGGCCTCCGCATGCGTGATCGGAGCCCCGAGAAGGTGCCTTCCAGTCCCTGCAGCTTCGGTCAGGCGATCTGGGCTCTCCACCGGAGCATCGATAAGTATATCATCAGAAGCCTCCCCTGCGGAGCCAGCGGACACCACATCTGCAGCCGATCCCGAGTGAGAGCCCGCAGAAGCAGCCGAGCCGCCAACATGAGAAGCCATGAAGGACTTGCTCAAGCACAGCTCTGCACCAGTGCATGCATGCCCACAATGCGTATATGATGGACTTGTTCGAAAGTCATGTTGCACATGTGCCGGCTTCGGAGAGGGCTTAGGCAAAGCGGAACCCACTGCAGCGAAGAAAATACTTGCACAACACACTAATGGATGGCACATCGGTACCTAGTGTCCACACGGATCACAGCACAGGCTGAGTGGGGGGCTCATGTATATAAATCTGATGCACGGTGACGGCGAAGCTGCCAGTGGAGACCTGCACACTGGAGACGCGATGAGCAAACAACCATGGGAGCAGTCACGAAGTGCAGGGCCAGCAAAGCCCAGGCAGCAAACCGCCACAACATGCCACAACACAGCAGACTGCACCTTCTCGATGTGTGCGTGTCGTCCTTGTGCAGCCGCGACGCGTGGAACCTGGGCAACACGAGGGGGAGGGGTGCAGGGCTACAACCACAACACGAATGGATGGCACATCAGTATATACCTGGTGCCCACACGGATCACTGCACAGGCTGAGTGGGGGGCTCATGTATATAAATCTGATGCACGGTGACGGCGAACCTGCCAGTGGAGACCTGCACACTGGAGACGCGATGAGCAAACAACCATGGGAGCAGTCACGAAGTGCAGGGCCAGCAAAGCTGGCCCAGGCAGCAAACCGCCACAACATGCCACAACACAGCAGACTGCACCTTCTCGATGTGTGCGTGTCGTCCTTGCGCAGCCGCGACGCGTGGAACCTGGGGCAACACGAGGGGGAGGGGTGCAGGGCTACAACCACAACACGAATGGATGGCACATCAGTATATACCTGGTGCCCACACGGATCACTGCAGGTCTCCAAGGAAGAATGCTATGGTGACTGCCCTGGGACTTGGGACCCAGGCGGCTGCAACGATATCGGGCGGCTCGATCTGCGTCATCCGACCTGGCGAGTGCACTGGTCGAGATCCCGTAATGGAGAGCTCGTGTCAGTATATATATATATATATGCTCCGGCTTTGTCTAAGGTCGTCACTCATGGTCAGGGCAAGGTGCTCGTAGACGACCTGGCATGCCACCACAAAGACAATGGGCAAGGCAAAGAAGAAGCTCAGTGCAAGTACAAGACGGGATTGGGTCACCGGCCACAATCCGCAGAAGCAGCAGATACAGTACCTGGCCGGTCGCTTGGTAGACAAGCACAAGGTGGTGCGGTCGTCAGCGGCAAAGGCAAGGGTAAATATATATATATATATATATATATAGCTGTTTTTTTCCAGTGCGCAATGCTGCAATCAGCTGGCTCGAAAGCATTGATGCAAGACGCCAGCAGTGGCTAGGAGCAGGAAAGGCCCTAGACTTCCACAGGAGCAAAATCCAAGGGAACAAAATCACTTCAAGTGATCCCTTGAGGCGGGCCCCCATCTCACAGCTACTCACGGCTCAAGGGGCGAGGTCGCCTGAGAAGCAGAGTTGCTGGCTGATCCCTTGAAGAAACCACCCGGAAGACAAAACCACAAGACTCCTCAAGTAGGCTGCCCACTTCCTGGAAGGCTTCGGCTTCGGTGCCGCCGATGACGCGGATCGAGGAGTCGGTGTCGGAGTCGAAGGCGGGGCCGTGGTCGATGTCAATGCACCCGCTGTGGCCTCCACCCTGCTGGTCGTGCCCGGGGTCGTCGAGGATGCCGCGGCCTCTTCTGCCTCCTCCGCCATCAAAGCAGCCCGTAGCTGAGCCGTCAGCTCCTCAGCTTCCGCACGGGTGATCAGGCCCCTGGCACTGTTGATAGCATCACCGTAGCACGGTCACAGCTGCCAGCTCAGCTCATCCGCGAACGCATGGTCGATCAGCGCCAGCCTGGACCACTTGTGGGCCTGCCATACGCGCAATGGCAGCGCTTCCCCCAGCCCTGGGCCCTCAGTCCTGTGGAGGTCCTCCCTCCATCGGCTCCATCATCACTGGATGGGCTGCCCGTCCAGAGTGCCAGCTCATCGCCCGCTTCCGCAGGTGTCATCCTGCGAACGTTCGCCGTCAGCATGGCCTCTCGCCTATCCGGGGCAGTGATCTCTGGCGCCAGCCGTGTGAGGACCACTTGGGTGGGCCTGCCATGCCTCATCATGGCGTCACCAATGGCCGCGGACAGCAGGTAGGACAAGTTGCGGTCCTCCAGCCCTGGGCCCTCAGTCCTGCCCTGGAGGTCCTCCCTGGGACCATCGGCGCCCCAATTCAAGAGATTCTGGTGAGCCCTGTCCTGCTCTCGCATAGGTTCCACCGTGATTCTCATTGAGGTCAGGCCGGCATGATGCCAAGGGATGTAGCACACGATCGGGCCGACAAAGGAAGGGAGCTCACGTGCCACAGCCCGCGATATGCGGTGCGCAAGAGCCTGCTCGACTTGAACAGGATGCGGCGGCGGTGGCCCGGCCCTCGCCCTTGTCTCCTCTGGGCTTTCCACCCAGACCTCCTCCAGCTCCTCGGAAGAACCGGACATCGAAAAGGCACCCTGGGCAAGCAAATCCCTTGCTATCTGAGCCCTCCAGCTGCTCCACAACATGAGATGGGCACAGGTTTGTCGCAGTCCCTGCAGAAGGGCTCTCACTGTGCTGCACATGATGCCGAAGTGTCGAAAACTTCCTAGCTGGGGGCACATGATGATCCAGGCGTGATTGCACTGAAAGGAGGTTCGGGTCGCCTGCGCAGCGTGTAGGCCAGTGACATAGACAAGCAGGCCACAACACAGCAGACTGCACCTTCTCGATTTGTGCGTGTAGTTTGTGTGCAGCCGCGATGCGTGGAACCTGGGCAACACGAGGGGGAGGGGTGCAGGGCTGCAACAGTTGACACAACACGAATGGATGGCACATCAGTACCTCGTGTTGCCGCACCCTCCCGCAAACCCTGGAAACTCCGGCAATAATAAATAAATATAAATATATATATATATATATATATATATATAGGTTTATAATTTCTATAGCAGATGACCTGTGAACGTGTCCACACGGATCGCAGCACGGGCTGAGTGGGGGGCTCATATAAATCTGGTGCACGGTGACGGCGAAGCTGCCAATGGGGACCTGCACACTGGAGCAGCACAATGGAGCCCAGTACTGCGGTGGCGGGTTTATATAGGGGGTCGAAACACGAACGCCTGCCAGCACACACGAATCGGGGATGGTGTCACACTAACGGCTGGCATATCTGGGAGCGTACACAACAGCACTTCCACTCCTACGCAAGACAATGGGGTACCTCTCGCAAGTCCTGGGGCCCTGATCCCTATATAAACCCTAGGGCCCGAAACCGTATATAAACCCTAACACCCTAAACCCTCAACCCTAGGGCCTTAGACCCCGCACCCTAGGGGTATATATATATATATATATATATATATATATATATATGTAAACCTTACACCTCAGGATCCTAAACCCTAAATGCAAAGCCCCGAAACCCTAAACCTAGGACCCTAAACCCTCAACCCTAGGGCCTTCCTAGGGTCCTAAACCCTAAACCCTAGAACCCTATATAAGCCTTATATAGTTACGAACCCAGGCCGAGATCACGGCCACCAAAGAAGACCAGACCTGAGTGGAAGGAGGGGGGCGAGGACAGGGCAGCAGGAGGCGGGGAGGAGCTCGGAAAGGAAAGACGCTCATTTTGCTCGGAACTGCTCTTAATCAGGCTCGTGAGCTGTGAGTCGTCCAAATTCGACGTCACAAACTCAAAGAAGTTGCATGCAAGGTGGGCGCCGGCCATGCGCCCTGGAGCAAATTAAGCTGAAAACTGCAAGCCACGTCGAAGCTCCCATTGCTCTTGCTTCAGCTGCCGCAGGCGCCTCACCATGGACGCTCGGGCATCCATCAGGTCTTGGAACGTCCGGATCTCACCAGGCACCGCGGCAACGTAGTCAGAGCAATGGACCATCTCGCAAAAGCAGTGCAGAATCTCCACGACGTCCTCGAACATCTGGCCTCGGAGTGGAAATTGCGTGTACAGCCAACACTCCAAAAAGCGGTGCGACACGTCCTGGCTGAAGCAGACTCTGCGCCACCAGGCTGGTGCCAAAAGACGCACGACCGCGGCCGGTGTGAATACGCCCCAGCGAGATGACCCTGGGAGCACCGCCTCCGCTTCATCGTGGAACTTCAAATGCATGGCATTGCGGCGGTCCTTGTAGTAGCCATCATCCGTGGTGTGGAAGCGGTCCATCTCGCCCTCGAATTGGGGCCCCCAGGTCGCAGCGAAGTGAACGAGCAGCCACCAGAGCTTGTTGCAGCTCTCCAGACCGCCGCAGTATATGGAGTCCATGGCTGCAACGCCTTCAGCGTGGCAACTAGGCTTGAGCATGCAGCAGCTGCCATGCACACTCATCATCAGAGGAGGAGGGGATGGAGCTCTGACCTCGGACCTCTTCACAACACGAATGGATGGCACATCAGTACCTCGTGTTGCCGCACCCTCCCGCAAACCCTGGAAACTCCGGCAATAATAAATAAATATATATATATATATATATATATATAGGTTTATAATTTCTATAGCAGATGACCTGTGAACGTGTCCACACGGATCGCAGCACGGGCTGAGTGGGGGGCTCATATAAATCTGGTGCACGGTGACGGCGAAGCTGCCAATGGGGACCTGCACACTGGAGCAGCACAATGGAGCCCAGTACTGCGGTGGCGGGTTTATATAGGGGGTCGAAACACGAACGCCTGCCAGCACACACGAATCGGGGATGGTGTCACACTAACGGCTGGCATATCTGGGAGCGTACACAACAGCACTTCCACTCCTACGCAAGACAATGGGGTACCTCTCGCAAGTCCTGGGGCCCTGATCCCTATATAAACCCTAGGGCCCGAAACCGTATATAAACCCTAACACCCTAAACCCTCAACCCTAGGGCCTTAGACCCCGCACCCTAGGGGTATATATATATATATATATATATATATGTAAACCTTACACCTCAGGATCCTAAACCCTAAATGCAAAGCCCCGAAACCCTAAACCTAGGACCCTAAACCCTCAACCCTAGGGCCTTCCTAGGGTCCTAAACCCTAAACCCTAGAACCCTATATAAGCCTTAAAGCGACAGTCTCAGAACCTGGCCACAAGCTCCAATCGAACAACCCCAGCAGAAAGCCCCTGCACTTGCACTCTACCTGCACTCCTAGTGAAGATCACGCGAAACACTCTGAGGCAGCTGCGGCAACAGCGAAGGTTCTGACCTCTAGGCGATCACAGGTCTTTGGCACACCAGGGCGATTAGCAAACCATCTCCTGCCTTAGCTCTGGTGACGATTGGCTGGAGGTACTGCCCACAATATAGGCACAAGGCGATAGAGTCGAAAGACACGCCCGAGCCCGGCCTCAGCTCAGCTCGCGGCGTGCCCGACCCTGCCCCAAAACCGATCTCGAATTGGCCTTGGCTGCGGCGGGTGAGTCAGCTCCGGCTTCGAACAACCGCGGAGGCAAGGCCCAAGACACAAGGCTCGAAACTCAACGGACCGGACCCGCATTTTGCGCGCTGTAGCTGGCCAAGCCTTGTCTGCTCAACGGCGCGGTGACCTCTCACTACGCTCCTGGCAGGGGATGCACGTGATTTCCAGCCCAAAAAATGACGGAGGGGGGCTGCACGTCGTCGCGGTGACCTCGACCTCTCACTACGCTCCTGGCAGGGTGCGCACATGACTTCCAGCCCAAAAAATGACGGAGGAAGCCTGCAAGTCGTCGATGACAGTCTGAAGGGCCAGGATCCTGGCAGGGGGGAGTCTCCCAGGCACGCGACAGGCTTGGAGCCCGGCCGTTGCTCGAGGATCTCGCTGACCTCCTTCTGGAGTCGGGCCTGGGTTCGGGCGGAGTTCCAAGAACAAGGGAACGAGCAGCCGGGCAGCGGGCCAGCTCTCCCATGTTGAGCTCCCTCAGCATGGTGCTTCTCGCCACACCTCCCTGCGGGGACTCGAAGGTCTCCTTCAGCGGCATGTCCTTCCAGAGCACAAAAAAAAAGGAACCGGCATCAGCAACTGGACCGGGCCTCCACGGCCAGCACCAAGGCAGAATCAGCAGCTACAGCACCCAAACTCCCGCTTGAGAGAAGAACGGAGCTCCCGCTTGAGACGGAGCACAGCAAGAGTGGAGGCCGCAGGGACTTGGCCTCCTAGTGAACCCAGTCGGATGAGAACCAGACCTGGCGTGGCGACCTCGACCAGCCAGCCAGCGAGCCTGGCCAGCAAAACAAAAGAGCTCACGACGGTGACAGGCGACAGCCTTCTAATGTACCAAAGTAGACCATGCAACCAAGCACGTTCCAACAAAGGGTTTATAGGGCAACCGGGGCCGGGGGCCGGGGGTTCGAGGTTAAGGAACCATTCAGCAGGCCTCGCAATCGATGCCCATGGAGCCGCAACTGCAGCGGCGAGTCTGGCCGAAGTGGGCAATTTATTATCGAGAAGAGTGGGCAGACTAGACCCATAAGTCTATGGCAGCACGACTGCAATATCAACTCATGGCACATGGTGCACAGGCACAGTTTGAGAAATGTTCACTCGGCTATGCTAGAAGCAGAAGAGCCTCAAAGCGAGCCCAATGTGCATCCACGAAATCCGAATCCCGAAGTGTCGAGTGTCAATGTGTGCCAGTCGCACGGATCCACCAGGAAGCGTAGAAGTCGCAGGCTCTGCCTGCATGAGTTTCAACTGCTTTCAAACACAAGCACGAGGTAAGCAGCTGCCACTGTAGAAACGGAATTACAAACCCTCCGCATGAAAATCCTGCAGCTTCCATGCTCCTAGCTTCATCTACGGGAGCTACAGCACCTGAACGCACAGCCACCCTTGCACGGAACCAAGAAGGCCGATTCTATTATTCCGACAAGCGGAGATGCAACATTCCGACACATACCAGCGCTCAGGGGACCCGCAACAATCCGACATGTGCTTACAGTATACAGGATCTATAGAACCTATAGAATTTTTGGTTTTACTGAAACTCGACCTGAAGCATTCCAAAGGGCGGGGTGAGAACAGGAAGGAGACGCCAGCAGCAAGAACAACAAAGACAGCAGCACACCGAAAACTACGGTCCGAAGCTACGTGAACCAAAGCAACCCACATACAAGCCTCACCCCATTGATGCACGCAGCAAGCCTGCCCGCCACTGCGAAGCTCATCAGGAGGCCGATCATAATCACAAAGAGCTGGACCTGGGCAACGCCGGCGAACACAAATGGACGGCACATGTGACGGACCCCAGTCTAAATCAAGAGCTCAGACTGTGACGGCCTTTTGTTTTGCTGCGCTGCCGCAAAAGAGCTCCTCAAAACTTGGATGCAAAACTGTTGCCACCGAACAAGGCAGAGCCCCAGGTCAAAACGAAAAATCCGTTCTTCCTCCGGAAAATTCGTCGCCCCGAGTCACCACAGAGCCATCGGTGAGAATAGCAGCGAATGCTTGCTTGGTCGCTGCTATTGCCTGCACATGCTGGAGCTGTAGCTGTACGGCACTAGAGTCGCCCCCATATTCGGCATCACCCCATGTCACAACAGATCCGTCTGCTTTTCTGGCTGCAAAAGCAGCAGTGCTGGATTGGATCTCTACCACATCGTGGAGAAGATGCTGAACTGCACGGCTGTCGCCGCCTGCGTCGACAGCACCCCATGTGACAACGGATCCATCGCCGAGTCTGGCTGCAAAAGCCTCTTCGGTGGCCTGAATGCTCACCACATTCTGCAGCTGGTGCTGTACACGGCTGCTGTTCCCACCATAATCAGGATCACCCCATGTGACGACACGTCCATCAAGGCGAATGGCAGCAAAAGCCTTGTTATTGGACTGAATCCGCCTCACGCCTCTCAGCTGAGGCTGCTGCAAACCTGAGTTGCCGCCATAGGTAATCTCACCCCAGGTCACGACAGATCCATCAGCGAGAAGGGCTGCGAAAGCCTTGTCGGTGGACTGAATGCTCGCCACATTCTGCAGCTGTTCTTGTACCATGTTGGGGGGCCACATGGCAGAAAACATTACTGTAGTATATATATATAAACCCTAACACCCTAAACCCTCAACCCTAGGGCCTTAGACCCCGCACCCTAGGGGTATATATAGATATAGATATATATATATATATATATATATATATGTAAACCTTACACCTCAGGATCCTAAACCCTTCGTAAGGATGTCACTCAGTTCGAGCACTTTCGGGCAACAAGCATAACAGGTGGATGGTGCATCAGACAATCGCGCAAGAGACACACCAATGAATGGCACATGTGGAGGACACCAAACCACCAAAGCCCCGAAACTCAAACCCCAACCCACCTCACCAAAAAAAAAAACCTGAGAAGCCTACAAGCTCAAGGTCCAGGCCCCAAGACGACGCGTCGCCGCCCAGCGAGGTCAGGCCTCAGCGATGCGGATAGGAGGGAGATCGGGAGAGCTTACACATGCTTACACGCGAGGCGGGCTCTAGCTTTACCAGCACAAGGCACTCCTGCACGCGCACACACTCGCAAACCGCCGAACATCCGAACAAACCCTCAGAGGCACCGGCATGGGATGACAAAGGTCTGGACCTGGGCAACACTCTCGGAGGGCAAAAGGAGGGGACCTACGGGCACGTCAGGAAGGTCTCACAGCGCTTATAGTCGGGGCTCCTTTAGGCTACAAAGAGGATATTCGTAAGGATGTCACCAACCTGGTGCACACGGGTGGCTGGCACATTAGGAACCCGAAAGAGGAAGAAGGGTAAAGGAAACCCAACAATCCAAACGTGGGCTCCTAAAACCGGCAACGGAGTAGAAAACAAACCACACGAATGGATGGCACATGAGGAAGGTACCAACGCAGAAGTCGAAGGAGGCGCACAGGGCACCCCAGCAGCACCTAGGCACACACTCGCAGGGGTTTACGGCAAAAGGCCGGGGCAGCAGAACCAGGCACTCCTGCACGCACACAGACACTCGCTCGAGAAAGAAACCCCACACAAACCCAGACCCTTCCAAAAACAAAAGAAACCCCGGCAAGCACTCTGAGGCTCGGCGCGGCTGTGATGAGGTCCAGGCCTGAGCAAGGGTTAGGGCAGCCTACGAAGAGGGGGCGACAGCACAAAGCGCTCCTGCACGCACCACACTCCTACTGGGGAAGCAGGGACAAGAATGCATGGCGCATGTGGGGCGCGGAAAGCACTCCTACCTGCACCACACTCCTACCGGGAACGCCAGCAAGAAACAAATTCATGGCACATGTGGAAGCTTCCTACAGCTGGGCCTCTGCATCCACGATCGGGACGACAGCCGGAGCCTG